ATCCAACATCTGCAGCATCCAACATCTGCAGCATCCAACATCTGCAGGGTTCTTGTAGGAGCGTTCATGTAAATAATGTCACCGTGATCAATGGAGGGAAGGAAAGTCACAGATACAAGGTGTTCCTCAGGGTTCAGGGTTAGACAGGATCTGTTTCTGAAAAAGAAACCCAGTTTAACTTTCAGTTTCTTTACCAAGTTTTCCACATGGAGCTTAAAAGAGAGATGAGAGTCGACCAAGATACACAAATATTTATAGGAATCAACAAACTCAACAGGGACACCATTTGAGGATAAAATCAGAGGAAGAACTGCTGGGACCAACTTCCTGTTTGAAAACAGCATCCCTTTGGTTTTGTCGGCATTTAGGACAAGTTTGAGGCGGAACAAATCAGTCTGGATGATGTCAAAGGTGGATTGCAAAAGCTGGAAAGATTAAAAAGATATGTTAAGGATAAAAAAATTATTACAAATGCAAAACAGGTTGAGAGTAAGTAAAGACAGCAGTAGAGTGAAAAGTGTGGTCAGTTTGTCCTCCAGCAGTCTAAGTCTATAGCAGCAGAACTAAGGGACAGCTCAGGTGTTATGGCCTGAGGCCATTTGGTTGAGCAAAAGTGTTTGCAGGCTGGTTGCTGACCCAGCTGTGCTGTGGCCCATCTGGGATTGGCTGCTTCACTTCCTGAATCCTCCCAAGTGGACATCAATCTGCATCCTGGTTGTCTTCTTCACCTCCTGCTCCTCCAACCACAGAAGAGGCCTGCCTATTTAAACCCAGCTCTCCTGCCATTCAGGGCGGCTGTTTTTTAGAGCAGCTCGTCCTCTAGTATGGGTTTCTGTGTCTTTGGACTCTGGTCTCTTGACTTGAATAGTTTGGCTTTGGCCAACAGTTAAATTGTGCATTTGCAGTTGGTTGTCGGTGTTTGTGAACCCCTGAAAACGGTTAGAAGGCTTACTTGTTTACTTTTGTTTTGACTCATTGTAAATTTGGTTAGAGTATTCATTCACTTGGTTAATCTTAATTTTGTTATTGACTTGGTTGTGAAAACTTTCTTCTAATTTGTACTTTGAAAGTACCCCTCCTTTTTGTTGATGTTAAATTTTATTTTAAACTGACAAATTAAATTATTACTTTTATTCAAACTTGTTCCATCTGGGTTTTTAATGTTGCCTCCCCTTCTCCTGGCTGAGCCGGGTCGTAAACCCAATCCGACCCTAACTATAGGATTTATCAAAAAGGGAAAAAAGGAAACTCTTAATCCTAGTTTTAAAACTGGACAATGTGTCAGCCTCATGGACAGAAACTGCAAGTTGGTTCCACAAGAGAGGAGCCTGAGAACTGAAAGATCTTCCTCCCATTCTGCTTCTGGAAACTCTAGGAACCACAAGTAAACCTGCAGTCTGAGAGTGAAGTGCTCTGTTAGTAAAATATGGAACAATAAGATCTGTAATATAAGATGGAGCTAGGTTGTTGAGGGCTTTGTAGGTTAGAAGTAAGATTTTGAATTCTATTCTGGATTTGACAGGGAGCCAATGGAGAGAAGCTAAAACTGGAGAGACATGATCTCTCCCAGTAACTCCAGTTAAGACTCCGGCAGCAGCATTTTGGATCAAGTGAAGATGTTTTAAAGAAGTATTTGGACACCCAGATAATAAACCATTGCAATAGTCCAGTCTAGACGTGACAAATGCATGGAGCAGTTTTTCTGCATCATCTTTAGATCAGATGTTTCTAATGTTAGTGATATTACGCAGGTGGAAGAAGGAGGTTCTAGTAACGTTTTAATGTGGGGGATAAAAGACATGTCCTGATCAAAAATAACACCAAGATTTTTAACATTAGAGCTGGAGGACAGATTAATGCATCTAAGGAGGGAGAAAGACTGAAACATTCATTCCTAAGGTGCTCAGGTCCAAAAACCAAAACCTCAGTCTTGTCTGTTCAACAGGAGAAAATTAAGGGTCATCCAGGTTTTTATGTCTTTAAGACATGCTTGTAGTCTAAGTAGCTGATTGGATTCATTGGGTTTAATGGACAAATATAATTGTGTGTCATCAGCATAATAAAGAATATTTGTACTGTTTAATAATTTTACCTAATGGAAGCTTTGTTTCTTGTCTTTCATAAAAGCAGAGAACCAGTACCAACACAGTGGACAGTCAAAGCTGGTTCTAATCCAAAAGGACAACAACAACAACCGTTGTCACATTGGAACCACCACCGGTGAGGAATATGAAAACTATGATGAGCTGGTTGCTAAGTCACTCCTGAACCTTGGTAAAATTGCAGAGGATGCCTCGTACCCAGCTCTGACTGAGTCTGAGCTGAACAGTGACTCTTCGAACAGTGCTGATGAGGAGGAGGAAGAGCAGGAGAAGGAGCAGGAGGAGGAGGACAGGAAAGAAGAACTGAGTGTGGACCTAAACAGTGATGTAGTCCGTGAGACTGTGGACTCCCTGAAACTCCTGGCTCAGGGTCATGGTGTCATCCTGCCAGAAGATGGATACCCTGACAACACCATGATGAACAATGGTGTCCCCACCAGTGGGCGGGGTCAGGAGGTCAGATGTTTAGCAGCAGACGATGGGGAGGAGATGTGTCTCAGCAGTCTGGAGTGTCTGAGGAACCAGTGCTTTGATCTGGCCCGAAAACTGAACGAGTCACAGTCATCTGACTGGCCAATTCTGCATGGTATCAACCCCCAACAGGTGGATCCACAGGTGCTGCAACACCTGAACAGGTAGGTCCTGTCACCTGAGTCCTCTGTGCTCCACACAGCATTTTCTTATTCAGTCATTTTCATCTGCACATAATTCAATAACAGAACCACAGTTCTCCAAAACTGATGACAGAACCCTTTGAAATCCAGTAAACATCGATCAGTAACTATTCTAAGGAAAACAAGCAGTCTCAGACCTCAAATACTTGAAACCAGACAGTTCTGAAGGTTTTGAGGGTTATGAGGACTGATACATCCATGAAGTCCATGAAGAACTGCCGACAGGAACTGTGAAGCCAGAACAATCCAGCAGCTGTCAAAATGAGACACATACAGAGGAGAACAAATGGTTTGATCTCCTGATCGTGTTTTTGCTCTTACAATAAAAGTGGCTGCAGTAGATCATTCAGTGCCGCAGTCTAATAATCCTGAGTCACCAGGTTCAACCCAGTTTGCATCAGAAAGGACATCCGGTGTTCAACCATCCTGATCTTTCATGTAAGTTAGCTGGTTGTAGTGACCCCTGTAGAAGAGAGCTGCTGAAATAAAAACGGCAACAAAGAAAAAACAGTCCAATTTTATAGTCATTTCATTTTAATGGAAAGGAAAAAAACTTCAGTTAAAAATCCAGAAAAAAAAAACAAAGAACACAACAAACGATAAAAAAAGAAGAAAAGTCTGAGATTGTCATCATCGTATGTTCCCTTACAAAGATGAAATTAGTTCTCTGCATTTAACCCATCATGTGAGATACACCAGGTGGAGCAGTGGGCAGGTATGTAAGCACCCGGGTGGGGTGGGGGGTGGGGGGGGAATGATTTAAATGAGTGAAATAAGATATCCAGTGAAATAATTTGAGCTTAAAGTAAATAAAGTAAAGTAAAGTAAAGTAAAGTAGTAAAGTAGTTATTTTTTTCCTGGTAATCAGAAGAAGATGGCAAAAGGACTAAATTTTGCCATCTCTCTACAAGAAATACCTGTTGTGGAACTAATCACTGCCACTGAATCCGCGATTAGGAACAACTTGGCGGAAGTAAATGGTAAATGATAAATGAGCTGTACTTATATAGCGTCTTTCTATCTTATCCAGATACTCAAAGTACTTTACAACAATCTGTGCCTCATTTACCCATTCATACAGCTCTATACTAGATCTCTATAAAGCTAATTGAACAAATCATTCTAAAGAGACTAATCAGAGCTTTATCACATTCATGCACCGATGGGACACACATCGGAGGAATCAGGGGGTTCAGTGTGTTGCCCTGAGACACTTCGGCACTTCGAACCCCCAACTTTTGCATTGGAGGACGACTGCTCTAACCACTCAGCCACAGCCGCCGAAGTGGAGGCAGAACAACTCAGAATGAAAATATCAGCAACCCTCTCCAGTGCCAAACCGCCTCCTTCAAACCTCACACCACAGGAAAGGAAAGCTGTAACATCACTCAGCCAGGACCAAAACATCACCATTTTACCAACTGATAAAGGAAGATGCACAGTAGTCCTCAACACTTCTGATTACCAGGAAAAAATAACTACACTACTGAGCGACAGCGACACCTACGAGACCCTGAAGAGGGACCCAACTAGCACCTATAAAAAGAAAGTCACAGATGACCTGCAAAAACTTGAAAAGTAGAAAACAATCAATCTATCGTTGTATTATAGATTGTACCCAGGGGAAGTCACTCCATGTTTTTATAGACTTCCTAAAATCCACAAAGAAGGAACACCACTCAGACCCATCGTCAGCAGCATGTACTCAGTGACATACAATATTGCTAAACATCTGGCTGGTATTTTAGTTCCTCTTGTTGAAACACACCTCATCACATAAAGAACTCCATTGATTTTGCTAACAAAGTTCAACACTTGAAACTAACCCCAGGAGAAACCCTTGTATTGTTGATGAACAAATGCCGAGATATATTCATCAATTAAAACGGATTCCTCATTTTTCTGGACTGAATAAAACGTGCATTGAATTTAATGAAATGTAAACGTGAGACGTCATTTATCTTTGACCCATCAAAATGAATGCGGTCATTTATTTTACAGAATCAAAGTTTAACATCAAACATTTACATTAATTTGGCAAAATATGAAAATAACAACATAATTAACAGCTTTACAGGTAGTGAGAAACAATGCGGCGATTGTTTCCACTCTTCAGCAGAACAGCAGACATTAATGAAAACTGTACAATTATGATCAATTATCCACACGGCGGTGGATGAGCACTTTACACAGACATTTCTAAATTATCTGGAAGGATTTCTACTTGATAGAAGGATTTAAAGATGGAAATGAAGTTTAAAGGGAGTAAAAGATGGTGTGTGAGGGGGAGTGTTGACCAGAACCGACACTCTCCATCCGAACCCAGCTTTTCCTCGGTACGCTTGGTAGGGAACTTGACTCATTACCTTTCTGAAGATAAATCAGCAGATATGGAGGTCCAGTTAACGCTACCTGTCCAGCGTCTCCATAGGATGGCTGTGACTCGTCCGAAGTAGTGACGAGATTCCGTCCGACACAAGCTCACATCAGCAAGTGGACTTCACATGAGTGGAGTCCTTCAGAAGTTCCACTCAGAGGTGGAGGATGTTATAATCCAAACTCGGAAGAGCCTTATCATGCTGGACTTCTGTTCTCCCAAACGACTTCACAGAACTGCGAACATCTCAGAACTTCTCCGCGCCGCCGAACTGAGAGAACTAGGAAGTACCGGCAATTTAAAGAGCTCTATTTCCGGTATATTTGAGTGTCCCTGATTGGGTAATAACAACCAGACAGGGGTGTGGTTTGTGACGTAAGAGGTTACTAGAAGTCAGAAAACAGCAAGAATTGTTATGGAACAGATTAAACTGTTCTCAGAGACAGAGAGAGTTTTGTTTTGGCGAGTTTTAGAAACAGGTGCCAACTTCTCCGTTGACGTCTGAGAGGATGTAAAACAAGACAGTTGTTCCAACACATGTCTGCTTCGACTCCTGACCTTGGAAAACGCACACTTACTCATTCAAAGACAGAAATCAGAAAATGCATAAAAATCTGTAACAGACCTTAACATGAATTCTAACTTTGCATGAGGATTAAAAAATTATTACACTGTTTCACAGTTAATAAAATTGATTAGTTCACTGCAACATCTAAAATGGTTTGAACTAAGACACTTTGATTATCAACATTTGTAAAATAGTAATGATAATAAAAAGAGAGTGTTCTTTCACTTGATTTTCAAGAAAGAGAGTCTCAGGATGGGTGAACCTGTATTTCTGGATTCAAATCAATGAAATGACAGTTTCTGTCCCACAAGGTTCTTAAGGTCAAGGGTTTTGACCTTAGGCTTAGTTTTGACATCAGGTTAAGTTCACTACAGTATCGTATGATGTGACTTCTCTTTTCACATGCATACCCATCTCTGAAGCAGAAGAAACCGTCAGAAAACAACTTCTACAAGACAAGGACTTAATCAACAGGACCAACTTCACCCCAGACCAGATCTGCACCTTGTTGGATCTCTGCCTCTCCACCACTTATTTCAAGTTCAATGACAGTTTTTACAGACAGAAGCACGGTTGTGCCATGGGATCTCCAGTGTCACCCATTGTTGCCAATCTCTACATGGAGGAAGTGGAACAGAGAGCCCTAAACTCCTATGAGGGAACAACGCCAAGCCATTGGTTCCGATATGTGGATGACACCTGGGTCAAAATCCAAGCCAAGGAAATAGAAGTGTTCACCAGACACATCAACTTGGTCGATAACAACGAGTTCACCAGAGAGGATGCAAACGACAACAAGCTGCCTTTTTTGGACTGTTTGGTTCAGATGGAGAGAGAGGACAGCTTCAACATTGAAGTTTACAGAAAACCAACCCACACAGACCAGTATCTTCTGTTTGACTCCCACCATCCACTGGAACACAAACTCTCTGTCATCAGAACTTTACAACATCGGGCCAAACGCATCCCCACAAAGACAGAAGGGAAGGAGAAGGAACAGAAACACATTCAAGAAGCTCTTCAAACATGTGGATATCCTAACTGGGCTTTTGTCAAGTCAGAGAGGAAATCTACAAAACACATTAATAAACAGAAAAAGGAGAAGAACAGAAGGAAAAACATTGTCATCCCTTATGTTGCTGGAGTATCAGAGAAATTCAGAAGGATCTTCAACAAACACAAGATCCCAGTACATTTCAAACCCAGCAGGACTCTCAGACAGAGGCTGGTCCACCCTAAGGACAAGACACCCATACACAAACAGAGTGGTGTAGTGTATGCGGTCCAGTGCAGCGAGGACTGTCCAGACCTCTACATTGGAGAAACTAAACAGCCTCTTCACAGACGCATGGCTCAACACAG